ATATCGAAGAATAAAAGAAAGAAAGAGAGAGAATGTGATGATACACACGAAAGAATAAATGAATGTATGCTGAAGTAATATTGAAGACGATGGCGGACACAAAACTGAGCAAAAGAACGGAGTAAAAACAGAGACAGAGAAAAAGAGAGAGAGAGAGAGTTGATTTCTTAATAATCAACAGAAAGAAACAAAGAAAAAACACAGGAAAAGAAAAAGAGAAGAAAGTAATGCCGCACCTTCGCTTCAATTCAATAGCGTAAAAAAAAGCAGTAAGGAAATGAAGAAATTAGTGATGACAACAGTCTTTCGTTCTATTTTTCTATTGCAGTTTTAATTAAAGTTCAAAACAATCTACTTCATGAATGTTGTGTTTTACCGGTGAACATAAGAAAACATTACTAGTATCGGACATGAGCAACTTGAAAGGAAATTTCTTTAAATTCTGATAAAAGTATGTTAAAATAAAACGTGCATTTTGAGTTCATCTAATATGATACGTATTTTCCTTTTTTTTTAAATCAAGAACAATATGATTCTGGAAAAAAAAAACTTTTCTAGTTATAGAAAATTCAAATTTAATAGTATCAAAACATATTTTCTTTCTTTAAGAAACTCAGTATTAATACTATCATTTACCAATGAAATATGTCTACTAATCATAAAATGAAATTTCCCATCGGAAATTCTTATAATTAAAATCTCAAGAGCTTTTTAGTTTGTGGTCAATGGCGTCAATTACAGTCAACATGGCCTTTTTTTCGTCATCATATTAAATAAAACACAACAACAACAAAAAAAGGGCCTAGATACAATTTGTTTTTTTTTAGCATATTTTGTCTTCTTGTCAATATTACTAAATTTATTTTGAAAATAATACACCTATATAATCGATTAATAGTTTTATCCTTCTGTGAATCTTAATCGATATCATTAATTCACAAATATAATAAAGTTAGCCTGAATAAAATGAGGATCGTTTGCAACCTGTCCAGGTGTACACTTATATGTGTGATCAACAATTAACGAAGGCCAAAGTCTAATAGATGAACATTCTTTCTAATCGTAACACTTCAACTTCAAATATTCTTTAATTAACTACCGAAAGTGATACTTTAAATGTTAATTTTAAAGTAAAGTTAAAGTGCAACCTTTAATCATAGCTGTCTCTTCATGCATATATGACGATATTATTTACATCTAAATGAAAGAAATACGTATCTACTCGCAAAAGAAATTTCTTTTCTTTTCTTTTATTTCATTATATTCATTCATATATGTATTTATTCTTTTCGTTTGCGATCATTATTCAAACGTAGACGGGTAAGTGTCATGCCTGACTACATTCTCCGATAATTATGTTAAATAGAAGAATATTTATTTTAATCACACATTTGTACAGATTGATTTGATTAGACACATACGCCGTACGAAGACAAATGTACTATGATTAATATGAACATCTTTTGTATTAAATATATTCTTACCCATAAATAATACCAAGTAGATGGAATGTAGCAAGGAATGCCCAACCACCAATAAGTAGATAACAAAATGTCTGTAGAATAACGTGAAAAACGTCACCACTGTTGTTGCCAATACCAAACATTGATTAATAAAAATTGATATTGAAAATAATAATAATAATAATAATAGTAAAAATAAAAACAACAAATAGTGAAAACCACAATAACAACAATAATAATTTCAATAATGAACGAACAAAAAAAGAACAAGTATGGTTTTTTGTTTATATGTTTATTTTCATTGTCATAAAGCTGTGGCTATTCAGACAAGATGACGAATACATATTAGTAATGTATATAGTAGATGCGTCATCCATGATACCATGATGCACTATCAAAGGTCTCGCTTTCTTTATCATATCTTTATTTGTTCATGACGATAGAGGGAACTCTTGACTGGTTGATGATAATATTGTTAGAACGCAGTTCACGCTGTTAAGATAAATCTATTTTTTATGTTTTATGAAAAAATTTTTTAAATAAAAAAAAAACCAAAGGGAAAATATAATACAAAAAATCATTGACTTATATTTTTAACAATGAAAAACGATTATTATTTCTATTTAAATAAAAACTTATAATATTAATATTAAACAATTAGATAATTTTCTTTCTATTGATTATGATCATATAATAATTATCTACTACAATCGATTCTTATTCAAACATAAATTCATTGATAAAAAAAAAAAGTAAAATTATGCAAAAACAACTTTATTTGCTTCAAATCAATATTAAAGTATTTGTTAAAATTTCGATTTACTATATAGTCTGATTAATCAATTGCAAATACAAAGGAAAAAAACAAGATTTTTGTTATTCCTTGTGTAATACATATGTATGTCATCAAGTCACATGTTCGTATTTATTATTCAATATTTTGATGAAAGATAAATAAGTTTTTAGAGTCTTTATTATCATAAATGACTTCTAACTATATAATTTCATATAAAATTACTAAATAAACTGAATAAAAATGCTTGATAAAACTATTTTTTCTTTTTAGTTTCTAAAATTTAGACACATTTTGACGAACAATATGTCAAGAGGTGTGGTACTTCTATCGAGTATTATTAATTTCTTTTTTTTTTGTAACAAAAGAAAGAATCATTTCAATAAAAAAATTATCTCTAACGACAAATTAAACCAATGAAAAATGTATCTAAAATACAGTTATTCTTTTTTTATTTTATCAAAAAGAAAATGTCGTTTTAGAAATATAATATAAGCCTCAAGTGATGTAAAACGAAATTCGATTAATAAACATATTCTTAATATGCAATTATTATTGACAGGTATATCAAATGGCATTTTTTGCTCGTTTCTTTCTTTTCTATCCCAAAAAATAACAAAATACTTTTTCAACCTATCGAACGCATAGGATATATATATATAAAACATGATTTGCGATTAAAAAAAAGATTGAATGTCTATATCAATATACGACTTCTATTTTTATTTTTGAATTCCTAATAAAATCATAAATGACTTAACATTAAACAAATAAACCATAACGATTGTAATTGAATTTAATTTTAGAAATAGAAACTTTCGATCTTTTAGTTGTTGGTACAATTATCAGCAGTTTTAAAGACATCACTTATGTCTCGTGATGAGCGAAATCAATTGTTTTTGCCCTTAGTCCTGATCAGAAAAATTTTTGGTCTTGATTTCACGCTTAGTAATACAAAAATACAATATCATTTTCCAGCGGTGTCAATGAGTTCAATATATCTTGCATGACCTATAATATATTTTCCTTTTGGAGACTCATTACTTTTTTAAATTTACTAATAAGTCGTCTATTCTGCATGTTTGTGTTCGACAACCATGTTGTTTAGGAAAAAAATAGGTGAGAATGTGGGTGTAAGTGTGGGTTAATAGAAGAGCAGTATATACACCCACATCCTTGATTTAAACATCGAAGACAACATGCCATCAAAAACAACATATTGAGTTACATATACTGGTTTTATTTGAACAAGCTTCTCTTGAAATGTCAACCAAATAATTTTTTACAAGGAATAGAAAAATAGTTTCTTGTCATATGAAGACATAGTAATCGTATAAAAACCGCATTAATTTGAAATTTGTATATTTGATATTGTATAATTTTGATAGACTACTTGTATATATAAGAATACAGCAAGCTAATGCATTGCATATTTTAGGATCTTTATAGAAAGCTGAATATAATATTCTTTTGATTGGAGGCGCTCAACAAATGCAAATCTTTTGGAGTAGGTATAAGCATACAAATGCAAAGCATTTATATTTAACAAAAAGTCTCAAAGAACAGTGCGAATCAAAATCGCACGCAAACATTTTTCTAACAGCTTACTCAATCGTACAATCTTTTCTAATATCCATAATTATAAATAAAAGATAAAGAAGTTGAGAGACTACGAAGAATCTATCACCGATGGTACTTGACCTTACTAAATTCTTTAGAATCTGGGTCATTTTAGACTAAAACCAAGTCCAAATCAAGATCAAATCTAAACTTTTGTATACCAAATTCCAAGACCTTGGATTTGTTGCATTCCTAATTTTAATCTATAGTATAGACGAATCTATCAACATAAATCAATGGACATTGTAAAATTAAATTCAACTGCATTAATATGATTTATTTTTTTTTGCTATTATATTGTTCTTATTCAATTTTTTTTCTTTCAAAATTACTTGATCTAATATTGAATATACAATGACTAGGAAAATCATTCGATCAGGTTCATTTTCAATTTTTTTTCCACTACTGTCAACGATGATCAGAATCCATATAGTGATTTTGTGTAGAGAATATTGTTTCTAACAAGAATTATCAAAGATAAAAATTATTGTTAGATTTTCGAGGGTCAAATCTCTGAAAAATCAAAAAGCAACTGTTTTCATCTCTTGAAATTTTGTTTGAATTATTCAGAATGATAGAGGCAACAATTTTCTACAAAATGAAATGTTCTTCAGCTCTCTGCAACATTTTTTGACCGAGATACATCAAACCTACGGAAAGCACAAAAGTATTTTTTTTTCTGCTATTTCGTATAGAAACATCAATTTTGTGTCTTTCGTAAGGTTAATATATTCCGGCCAAAAAACCATTGTAGAGAGCTGGAGGATATTTCATTTTGTAGAGAATTGTTGTCTCTATCATTCTGGGTAATTCAAGTAGAATTTCATTAGTTGAAAAATTTGGATTTCGAGTTTTCAGAGGTTTCATCCTTGAAAAACTAACAATAATTTTCATTTTTGAAAATTCTTGTTCGAAATAAAATTCTTTATACCAATCATTATTTGGATTCTTAGTAGTACTGATGACAGTGGAAAACAATTGAAATTAAATCTGATTGAATAATTTTGGAAATCACTATATATGAGATGTTTGTTTATTTTACAGAACAGAAAGGCAAGGATGATGGCGGGAATTTAGTTTAATATTATTTATTTGTATATGATTGATTGTTTATCATCATTTCGATGTCAAAAATAGTTCAAGCTGGAGATGTAGCTAAAAATATACATTTATGGACAACTGAAAGTACGAGATTTTCATTATTTACTGCAACAGAAAAATCACCTGTTCTACTTGCTTTTTTTCCATGTGCATTTACTAAACATGAAAATAAAGTAAGAAAATAATAATATTTATATTATTAATTAATTTTCTGTTTTTTTTATTTTAAACATCAAAAAATGAAGTTTGAATTAATAATTAAATTTATTTCTTTTTTCAGGTTTTAAATGGTCTCAATGAAAAATATAATAAATTATTTAAAGATTTAAATGTTCGTATTATTGGTATTAGTACTGATACTCATTGGACATTAAATGCATATAAAATTCAAAAAACAATTAAATTTGAAATGGCTTCAGATTTTAATAAAGATGCAGCTAAAACCTATGGAATACTTATGGATAAATATTCATCATATGGTTATAATGGTGTTGCTAAAGAGGCATGTTTTCTTATTGCATTTGATAAGTAAAATTTTTCATAGATATTAATTTAAAAAGTAAAAAACAAAAAGGAACTTTTTCAATTTTCTAGAAAAGAAAAGAAAAACTTTATTGAATATATGAAAGTATTCGATAATATGAAAGATGAATTTAATCCAGATAAAGTGGCTAATCTTATTATGAATAAATGGGGAAAAAAAGCAGCATCAAAAAATGTCGATGATTGACTATCAAATAAAAATTAATTATTATTTTTTCTCATAGATCTTTATAATAAACTTGTCACGACATATTTTTTTTTTTGTTTATGTCAATATTTTGATAAGGTTATTACATAAAGTAAAATTGTCTATAAAAAATAGACATCGACTTGAATCAAAAGGTATAAATAGAGCAAATTAAAAAAAAAGGAAAGACTTTAAGATTCAAAACTATATTTGACACTAATGCGAAGATAATTCAACATATCATAGACAGCGGAACTTTGTTGAATCTAGAGTACACTCAACAATCTTGATAAGATCCCTGCCGGATATTTAAGAATGGAGAAAGGAAGTCTTTTCATTCTTTCAGATGAAATATAATTAGTGTTTCTTATTTCTAATCCACATTTTGCACTGTATAAACCTGGCACTATTTAGAAAAACTTCGTAAATTGTATCGAAAAACGTTCACTTGTAGAACATTTGTCTTTATCATATTTCGAGTCTTCAAAGCAGAGTTTTGGATCTACTTTACTGAAAAACAGAATAATGATGAAGCAGTAGTGTTTACAAAGAAAAAGGGATTACGTTGTCGATTTACTCATTTTGTTGAAAATGTTTCTTAGTCATGTAAACTTAGCAATTGAAGGCAAAGAAAACTTTCGACAGCTTGTTGTTTATCTAACTTGGATTTTCAGTACAGTTTCTTTTCATTTGTAATATAAAATTCAAAATTTAATTATACAAAGTTCCATATTTTCTCAAGATCACTTTCTAAGTCTACTTCACTACGACTATGTTACAATTGACCGCTGACGATGATGAAAAATTTTGACGTTTGTAATGTACTATATAAATCTATCAATCTGATGAAACGAGAAACAAGGCTTTGATCCTATCCTAGCCTTGTGACTTCGTCGCCTATATAATACAATAACTATAGTAGATAGTGTCCCCGAATATATATGAATAACTCTTTGTTTTCAGATATCTCTAGGATGTAATTTAGTCGAAAGGTAATAGATTTGATATTGTACAGAAAAGAGCTCTTAATAAATGGTACTTCCGAAGTGTTATATTATTAGTATCAAAGGTAATATTTCGAAAAGATTATTCTTCTTTATAAACCGTTCATGATGCTTTCAAATACTAATACATTATAAGCATACTTTTCTTCACTCAATATAATATGCAAATATCTTTAACGATACAAAATCTTTAATGTATTTTCTATTGTACATAAAACAAAGTTTGACTTGCTTAATATTATCAATATGTATAGAAAAATAATCATTTGTGTTTAGTATCAAAAACTCTATTTCATGATGGAAGAACATTTTCATATGATATAGTTTGCGGCCAAATATCAATGAATAACATGACTATCGAAAAATTGAATAAGCATATTTGTTTGTAGGGAGCTGCGAGTTTGGATTCAAAGTTTAATTTATTGCCGGATCCGCGTCCACGAAAACGTGTACCCGCGACTCCCTAATTTCTTATTTTTAATGGTAAAGCATTGATCAATATGTGTAGACTTTCTTTGTGTATTGTTTAAAATTTTATTTATCTATTAAATACATGCATTATCATATTGTTCAACAATCTGTTTTAATTCATCATCAATTTTATATATATGTATTTCATCATATTCAATTTGAAATTTTTCATGTGATGGTTGAACAAGAATTGCTTTATTCAATGGAAAATTAAATGGATAACAGTTAATATTATTTCCATATACATCACCTTCTTTGATAGCACCTAATTTACAATAATTTTTAGTTGCACAATCGAGTGGTTGTTTTGGTAATGGTTCATTTTTATCTATAGATCGACTATTACTTGCAGAAGATTTTCCATTTGGTGGATAACTACTTAGTGCAAAATATTTTCCACCAGATCTAATGACATTTCTTACAGCTTTCAAACCATTTCGTATATGCATATGTTGAAGAGCATCACGAACAATAATCAAATCAAATGAATTATCTATTTTAATAGAAATTAAATTTTAATTAGATAATTAAATTTCAATAATAAATAATTACTTTGAATTTTATGTGTTGAATTTCTATATGAAAATGTAGGTATTGGACAATTTACAAGATCCCAATAATGAAATAATTTATTATGATGTTTTGTTCCATATAATTTTTGATTATATTGAATAGCGTGTGTTGATATATCACCACCAAAATAGAGTTGTTCAATAGTATTGATTTCTTGAATACTAAATTGCCAAAAAGTATCGCCACACGGTATATCAGCTATAGATCGAATATGAAAATGTTGCATTAATGATCGTAAATGTTTTATCCAATCAAAAGCACCTTCTAATGTCGAACCTGGTCCTGATCGACTTTCTTTTTCATTTTGATTCCATTTTCGCGTATCAAATATACTATTAAATTCTTGAGTACGATTAACTGTCGAAGAATCATTTAAGTTTGATTTACATTGTATATCAAGATAATAAACAGTAGAACTAGTAGATGAAAATCTATCAGAAATACAAGTATTATCAGAAATTAATTTTCCATTTGTTGTCGAAGAAATTCTCATCTGTAAAATTTTATTGATCGAATGACGATTATTTAAATAATATAATATTAAAATACTAGTATTGAACAATAACACAACAAGTAATATCAATAGATTTATTTTTATGAACATAATATTTCTGTAAAAAAAAATAATTAAAATCAATATGATATATAATTTGAATAAGTGTTTCATTCAATATACACAGAGACAGAGAGAAAAATGATTGTTTAACTCTTGTAGATAACATTATGTTAACCTTATTTATTATTTTATAATCGTGTCAATCTTTGTGAACAATCTTATTTTAAATGTAATGAAATATATTTTAAAATTTTGAAGAGGTGAAGTGAAATAATAAAAGATTTAGTTGCTTATTAATAGTAATCAACATTACTGCCAAAATATCAAAATGGTTTTTTTTGTAGTATTTCTCTTTATCATCAAATAACAACACTATTGTTTCTATGATATGACAAAGTAAAAAAAAAGATTGTACGACAACTAGTGTTGCCATCTTATAATGTTTAAAAAAACAGAATATGACTCGAAGAAAATAGAAAGTCTATGTCAAAAAGTAGAAAACGTTTTTTTATTCTAAATCATTTCTTGCTGTCATAATGAAGAAGGTCCATACCGAACTCCGATCGTTTGGAACAATTTAAATAGAATTGTTTGATACATCCTATTTTAATTGTATACTTCTTTTTTGCTTACAGCATTTTCAATAAATCTTAATTCGATATGATTTTTACACGTACCTTTTTGTTTCTGACGATTAAGAGAACCATCAGATTAAATAACTATAACAATTATCGGAGATACTTTTGATGACTAGATCTGAAGCAAAAATACCGATGTATGTGGCTATTTAAAAGTAGTCTTGATAATGATTATATCATCAATGATATCCAAACATTTTAATTTCGAATGTATAAAAGAAAATTTGAAAAATTGTAAGGCAACAAAATTTTCAAACTGAATCTGATTATTTTAAAAGCAAAACTACTTGAAACTCGTTCCATCTACCTCAAATTTAGCAATCTTTTCTTATTATGTGCTGTATACATGCTGTCTTTTCATAGTATCTTCTGACATGTCAGAGTCTTGAATCAAACCAAAAATAAGACAAACATAAAGTACGATTTCATTATATATTACAGAAATTTTTGCAGCTTAGAAAATCTCAACAGAAACGTTATCGCACAGTTTGACGTTAGAATTTGGATTCTAGTCATTAGAAATATCTTCAATTATTGTTATAGTTATTTACAGCCTTTTCAAAATTAATTTAAAAAACTGCTTAATCGACAAAAAAATATATATAAACTGTTATTGAATCATATCAATTCGACAAAGTACCTTGTAAACTAATTAGATGTGAAACGCTAGCTACGATAAGAAAAAACCACTGTTTCTCTATTACTATTGCATATATTAGTACCTTAATTCTACACTCTTTCCTTTGCTTGCTTCTTTCTTTGATCTTAAAGTTTTAATCAATGTTATTCACTATGCAAATCTTTTATATTTATCTGCATAACTAAGATTGTCAGCAGTATTAAACTGATTAATTTATACTTGTGGTTGTTCTGGAAACATATTCAATGATCTTTAAGCTGGATTGCTAAGGTCTGTAATGGGGAACTGCAAAACTTCGACTTAAAATTTACACTTCCTTTGCTCTTCGAAAATATATGTGGCTTCCACAAAATGATTTATAAGAGAAATGCATATCGTTTTCTTTTTGAAAAATTTCAATCTATGACTCATACGTAGAGCCTTGCAGAGTCACGTTTTTTCGACTTTAACTCCGAAAAGTTTTTTTGACTGACGTATTTAGTGACTATCAAAATTGATCATATGAAATCAATTTCGATTTTTTTCTGCAATGATAACTCGCATAAAGGATCAAAATAGTAACTTGAGTACAGAAAATTGTTTCCAACAAGGATTTGAGAAAAAATAAAATCTTCACAATATTCCCAAAATTCAAGATCTCTAGAAAATCACAAATCTAGTTTTTCGGTTCTCAGAATCTGAAAATAAAAGTCTCTTTTGATTACACGAAGTGATAGAGTCATTCTCTACAAAATGACACGTCTCCGGGCTCTCCACGGCATTTTTCGACTGATTTACATGAATTTTAAATGAAGCCCAAAAATTTGTCAAAAACTATTGTGAAGAGCTCGGAAACATGTTATTTTATAGAGAATCAATTGCTCTATTAGTCTATGTAATCAAAAGAAACATTTGTTTTTGGGTTCTCAGTGCTGAAAAGTTATGTTTGAGGAATTTTATAGAGATCCTGAATTTTCGGAAAACTGTGAAGATATTATTTTCCTCAAATTCTTATTAGAAACAATTTTCTCTGTTCAAGGCACTATTCAGGTTTTTTTATGCGAGTTACCATTATAGAAAAAAATGAAAAATAAATCTGTACGATCGATTTTTAGAGCCACTGCTTATTTCTTTTTATGCTGCCTGTTAGCGAGAATATTCCTCTGATGCTTCTTTTTTTCTTGAAGCTTATTTATGAATCTATAAAGTAGTGCATTTTTGTTCATTACTTAACATATGAAGCATAAACTTGTTGCCATGTAAGAGAACAAATACTCGATTGTTTTAATGATGTGACTCCGACATTGACCCTGAAAAAATTCTTCACGATCATTTCTATTCCGACTCTGAAGAGTATTTTTTTTCATGACTCCGATTCCGGCTCCGAAAAAATTTCTTTTAGTGACTCCGATGCAGTGCTTCGCTTATAAGATGTTTAGATTGATAGAGATACAGTTGATTAAATTCAGTTCTTCGTTTGGAATTTTAACTGATTACTCATTTCTCAAATTATTAATTTTCAAAATAAGACTTTATAAAATTTCCTAATGATATTAGTGATTTCAATTATCTTAATAACACTAGACCTATTCAAAGAAATTAAACATAGCTATTAATAAATCATTTTCAATTTCCTTCTCGTCATAACCGATGAAAATTATGTTATTTTAAAGTTACGAATAAATACATAAACGAAGTCTATAAAATAAATCTTACACTATTGATTTATTTTCATTATTTCTCTTATTCAAATAATAACTAATAATAGTAATCTGAAACGTTCATCAAGTATTCTATTTACTCACGAACAATGGATAGTAATGTAAAACACGTTTGAATTATTTTTGCAATTTCCTATTGTAAATCGCAATAGTCACGATTACAGGTATGACGACGTTAATATAATGCGTGAATAGTTATAGATTTCTTTTCTGTTTCAAAAAAAATGCAAATTTTTTTCCCATTGCTGTTCTTTTTCTTCTTTATAATTCAACAGCATATAGTTAATGTGCTGAGAAACACGATATTTCTGTAGTTCTTCGTGAGTGTTTTTTTTCTAATGTTCTCAATATATACATCGAAATGTCGTATTTTATGTTACAATAAAAAAAAAGAATTATTATTCACAACATGAGTACGAGAAGTAGAGCTGAATTACAGTGAAAGGAAAGTTTAGTAACAACTCTTTGTTTTTTTTCCTTGTTGAGTGTTTTATGTATAGAACATGAGAAAAAAATACTTCTGATTTAATTAGTGTTTGAAATTTTCTATTCAATTTTGGAATGTGGTGATAAAACATGTAGTATTATTGATTAATTGAAATTTGTTGTATTCTTAGGTCAACAATGTGATTGAGAATTGATATAGTTAAGTTTTTAGTTTTGTATAATGTAACAAATATTGTTATTGTAATGTTTTAAGAAAATGAAATAACTATAAATAAGTATCTATAGCTGCTTATCAATCATTCATTTAACTTATATTAGTAGCATTTTACCATAGTAAATTACAAAATAAACGATTGATATTTTTTTTTCTTCTTCATCATAAACTAAAGAAATCAGTGATGTTGTATGATAAAAATGAAAACAAATTATTTATTATATAGATTAATAAGCGGTTTTTTTAAATTTTATACATTAAAACTGAGAAGATTTCACGTTTTCATCAGTACTAATCACTATTAAATAAACAGAATATATATATCGCCATATTTGGGTACTTTCTATTTCATTTGTTGCAGTTTTTTCATTATTCGTTTAGTTTGCATATAAAATAAGAAGGTAAGTGTTTTAGAAAAAAATTTTAAACATTGTTTTTGCGATTTTTTCGGAAAAATAATGTGTTTCCATAGAATCATATTGAGGTCACTTATAATCCTCCATTACCTTTGCCTAATCGGGTTGAAATTTTTATTACAGATACTTAGAAATATTCTCTAGAAATAAAATCAACCATTTTCGTTTTTGATCTTCCTATACGGGTTTACTGAATTGTGAACATCAAGAACCTAGTGTTGAGTTCGAACTTTTACGTATTTCTCTTATAAAAAACCGAGATTTTTGAAAAACGGGTTCGATGTGGTCCTATGGAAAACCACAGTTTTTCAGAAAAAATCGCGAAAATCTTATTTAATATTTTTTTCTCTCGACCATGTGCCTCCTCATTTCAAGTACTCTATTTGTAGTAAAAATCTCAAGCAGATCGATTCTATTCTCTTTAAAAACTAAAAATGGACAAAAAAGAGGAGAATATCTTTAGTGGAACGATGAATATCAGTTGCCTAGTCTTCTTGCAGATTACAACAGAATTGCGACAAAATAAAACAGTAGGAAACAAATGTTTCTATTTTGTATATGGGCCAAAACATTCATTCGTGGCATGACTTCACAATTAAAACACGTGTACCTCGAGATAATGAACGTTTCTACAGCTAGTTTATATACGTTGCTCTAAATACTTTGAAAAAATCAGCGTGAGAGACCTTTGTTCAGAGGAACTATCAATAAAAGAAAAAAACAAGCGTTAAAAAGATGCATCGACTTTCATTTCATGTATTTTAATTTAAAAAGACTCTGAAATAGAGGCAGCATTTTTGAAAACTAAATAGTACATTTTATAGGCAACTCTAGAGGCTACAAAATCTCTATCGAAAGTTTTTTTTCTGAGCATGCCTAGATTTTTTCAAACAAAGTGATTTACTTGTCATTAGTGACGTGATGGTGTGTGAATATACAAACGAAAAAATGTTCTTATAACCAAATGAGAAGTTCAAAACCAATTTCAAAGTGTGTAAATCCTTCTTCAGAATCTCTAGATGATGGTAAGACAAAATTTGTGTTTCGAGACTTCACTAGATCCCTAGACAACCAGGCTTTCCAGAAGAAGCTTTTTTAAGTTCGATCTTACTGAAAATTTTCATCCTATATTTCATCAAATCTGTTTTAATATTTATTCAAAATAAAAAAAAGGAACAAATAGAAATTCATTAAACGCAAGAAATAGAAACAATTGGTTGAATAGTAAATGGTTTTAAACTTCGATTTTCTAATTGTTTATTATTTTCTTGATGATTAATCATAGTTATATCTATTGATATATCTTCTTGTTTTTTAAAAAAATGAATTAAAACTTGTTTTGATAATTGTCGAAATATTAATGATGATAAATAATTAACATAAAACATTGATATATAATTAAAATAAAAAATTAAATGAGATATTTGAAGAAAAAGATATTCTTGTGCGCAACGATATTCATCTTTATGAATTGTTTGTATTAAACTATCATAGATAAATTGTGTAATAAAAGGAATTGATGATATAATACAAATAATTATTTATAAAAATAACATTGATACTAATAGATCATAAATACGTGCCATACGTGATAAAACACCCGATGAAGATAATACACTGATACGACGATTACGTATTTGATGAATATTTTTTAATGTTAAACAACCAAATAAACTCATAAAAAATCATGGAAATATTCCATTGCAGCATAAATTAAAAAAATATTTGATTATTTTTAACCAAACTATTGATGAATAATTACATCATCGTTTATTTGATGTAAATTGAATAGGTTTTACATAGATAAGAGTTGGAATAGTTATTAATATCCAAAATATAATAAGAAATATACATATATGTTTTGCCATATAAACTGAATTTAAATGACGCCATTTTATTTGACGACATGTTGAAAAAAAATCTATCAATTGTAGAAAAAACAAGACAAAATAATGTTATAAGTGATGTACAATTTGCAATATAATATCGAATTTTACACCAACCTACATTAATTGTTGTCCAATGAATCTTAAAACCTTTATCGATTATACTATTAGATAAAGAAAATGATATATGAATTAAACTAGCAATAGATCCATGTAACATATGTGTACAATATGAACTTGAACGAAGAGGATGACGACGAAAAATTAAAATATGTCAAAAAGTACCTATAATACCAAATATTAACATAAGCAAACCCCAATAGATATTCAATTGTTGAGATATATAATTAAGTGTCTGTAAGGTAGTCATTGTACAATAAAAAAAGAATAAATTACATTAGAGTTTCTAAATAATCAGAATTATTCTATCTAGGGAACAAAAGAATTTTTAATTGTAGATTATTATAGTATATATTATAAAGAGAAAAAAAAATATTTTAGATTTTATATGAGAACAGTTGGATGCAACCATCAGTTTAACAGTTTACCTCCTCATTCATAATTAGAGTTTATTAGTACTATAAGATATCATATCAAGAGCTTAAAAGCTTTATATGAATAAAGAGAGATTATTTTTCTTGAAAAAATATTTTCTCTATGTTTTTCTCAATAACAAAGCAAAATTTTTTTTTGTCTTATATTTTTAATGTAAAATTTCTTACATAGATAAATAAAATAAACATTTAAAAAATAAATATTAAATAAGAATTTTTTTCGATTCTTTAAACGGTTTTTTTTGTTTGAAATATTTTTGTTATTGACAAAAAGCATAGCATCATATAACTTCATGATTAGGTTTGTATAAATTCTCTTTCACTTTTCGATACCAGTTTTCTTTAAAACAAAAACAAAAAAGATATTAACCTTTCATTATCTAGTATACGATCAACAATAATATTATCATTCAAGCTGGATATACTTTTTTAATCTGCATGACAAAATTCACATGAAAGAATAATGTATAATTACAGCACGCGATAACATCTCTGATCTATTTGTTTTTTACTCACGCTGTTATTTTCTAAGAACAAAATTAGTACAATTAAAGTTCACTTGATAATACTAGACGCTTGATTCAAATGATCTGATGAAAATTTTAAATACAGTAGAAATAAAAAGATATTAACTAATTTGTATGTTTTCAATAAAACGTTATAGTTCTGTGTCTATCTGTGATTGTTTACCGCTCAATTTTGTTTCTATTTTTTTTTGCGTCTGATACATATATACATGTGTAACTGCAACGAAAGATTTAACAAATCAATATATCTATGATTGTCTTAGTCATAGTTTTGTTTTTTGAAATACTATTTAAATCTTTCTTCAATATGGATATGTGGATACATTGACAAATAGGTGAGAAAAACAAACAAAATAAATTTATGTGTTAACAAGTTTATGATGTTTTTTTTAATTTGGGGATACAAAAACAAGGAAATGGATTAAATAATTACAAAGCCATATGAAAGATAGAGAGAAGAAGACGCGTCATATCTAGTCTAAAAGTTATTCTTCCGTGTTTTTATTCTAAATAGTATTCTGCATACCTTAACAAGCTTTCTCATATGAACAATTATAAACTACTGTTAATGATCTAATCGAGACCAAAGAAAACTATTTAATTATTGATGAAATTGAATCTGACTTAGCTTCTATGATGAAATATCCTATAAGCGTTTTACTCAGCTTGAAGGCTGAAGGACGGCATTGCTCTGTAGATCGAGATGGTTCTCTGGGAGTTTGTGCACATTTTACCATATACTATGTGTCTGTGCTCCTGAAAATAAGCATTCATCCTCTCGGAGTTGACAATTGCCCATTCGAAAGAGAAAAACTGGATCAAATAATAGATATTAAAGCAATGAACTTTGCAAAAGAAAATGATAGAAATTGGATCAATTCTATAGCTATATCAATTTTCTTCTTCATAGGAAACGTCATAATATAGTCTTTGACTTTTTCTCTAATCTATTTATTTACTTTTTCGTAATGAAGAACAACTTTTATTCACATATCAGTATGACAATTGAAGAAATGAAATAAGAACGACATTATTCAATAAAGTGTTCATAGATATAAAATATAACAAAGAATTGAATTACTGAGATGACCAATGAAAAGCATATTTTGAGAAACTTCCAACACAACAAAAGAGAATATTGGTAAAATAGGGTCTAAGTGCCATTTTACTTCGGACATATACCAATCGATAGAGCTTGAAATTTTGAATCTACTAAATCCCACTCCACACTTTTCTGAAAAAATATCAATAGGATAAAAAGCAAAAACTTTTTAGAATGATACACTCTAAACCAAAAGCTCAACAAAATAAATGTTTGAAAAATGAAGTCAAACATTGCTCTGCTACATATTTTGACCTGACTGGAACTATCAGACATTTATCACAACATCACCCAATATCATTTTTCCAAACATTTATTTCTTTGAACTTTTGACTCAGAGCAGAAGGATTCAGTAGATTCAGAATCTGAAGCTCTCTCGACTGACATAAATCACAAGTAAACGATGCTCATAATGGACCAGAGCATATTTGTTTTCAAAATTTCAGAAATTTCGATATGTTATACATAAACTCTAATGAGTCTCCTACAATCGGCTCAGATACCTGACAATTAATGAAATCTCAACGTTTCAAAATATTTTTACTTTTTCAAGCTGTTAACTTAAACAAAAGCATAGGAGTGAAAACTGATTCAATCATGATCAAGCAATTTATTGTACTTGAGAACAGGCCGTAAAACTGAAAAGTGGTATTGTTTTACTAAATGAATTCATTTATAATGAAAATTCATCTACATTTGATGGTCAACCCTATACAGCGAAAGTAAATGAATATTCATAATTATGACGTTTGGTGCCAACATTGCATTCCATTTCAGCATCATTAGCAAGAAGCAAACATATACTTAATGAAATTGATCGGATTTTAGAAGCAAAAAAATAACAAGTGAATCCTGAACTACTTGCTTTTTTGTGGAGTTTGAGATGATCTCATTTTTTTTGTTGCTGTTCATGAAAGAAACTAAACAGTATACTTTTTTATATATAACAAAAGTTTGAAAACTATACTGCTACTTGTAAAAGTATCTGACGGATGTCGATTAACTCCAGTCCAGGTCCACTCGACTACCTGGTAAAAGATAGTCGGATCCAGTTGCGAAAATTTGTACCCATCCAAGACACTTATTCTACTCTAAATAGAAGTATATGACAATGAATAGACTATCTCTGATATGTTAAAATTTTTTTTCATTTATTAGATCATTTTCAAAAATATTTTTAGCTGATTTTTGTATATACTGATATTTTCTAATGTGTTGTTTTCTATAACGTTTAAAAATACAGATAACTGAATATATTTCAATCATTTTTTCCTAAACAGCTAATATTTTTATCAGATAATTTTAAAAATTTATTTGAATAGATTTAATAAAATATCATATCTCTTAGAAAGATTCACCTGTAAAGATTTGACTTTGACCTAAAAAACAAAACAAAAACCAATCTGTCTTCTAGCGCTATCTATCAAAATTCGCATATTCATTGGTCATCAAGAATTATTCATTGTCGCCATTAATGGTTGTTTTTATCAAACATAAGTTATACATCTGATGTTAGAGATATATTTCAAATCTTGTTGTTTCAATCTGTATATCTTCTATTTAAAATGTATTATTTATTTTAGATCAATTTTTTTCCTTACAATGACATCTTCATCACCATTTGCTGCCAATACAAACAAACTTCAAGTTTTACCTTCACCTGTAAGTAAATTAAACAAATTTAAATTCAAAATATTTTTTCTTTCAAGACAACATTACTATTTGCTCAATCAATTAATAACAATGTTACTATTAATAATATGGGAAATACAACACAAAATATTCGTCAAACAAATATACAAAATGGAACAACAATTCTTCAACAACCAATGACTAGTGGAATAATGACAACACCAACAAGTATTGTTCGTGTTAATCAACCACAAACTCTACAGCAATCATCAACAGCATTAAATCAAGGTCAATTTGTACCTCAAACATTTTGGACAAATAATATACAACACACACCTCAACATCAATTCACATTACAAAAACAAACACAACAATCATCTGGTCTTCAATATACAACTGTTAAAAATGGTAAAATAAACGATCCTATCGAATAAATTGACCATCATTTATTTGAAAAGTCACTCGTAGAGATGCAGAATCTATCGCTAAAATAAAAGAAGAGAAGCTGTGTACAAAAACTTCTTCTCTTATTGTTACAAGAGAAACATGTTTGTATTAATGAAAAAAAATTTTCTTTAGTGAAGAATTTTCCATCAATACACATTGTTGCACGTTGGTAGATTCTTTGCGTCTAGCACTTTGTAGTACATGGAATGATATATAGGAATTTACATTTTAATTTTAACATTCTGAAAAACTATTTACTAGCTATAAGATATTATAATAATTATGGGTAATATAACCAAATATTATGACTTAATATATTTCCAAACTAATCCATATAAAAAATTTTATTTAAAGTTAATCGAATAAAATTTTTTCTGTTCTTTAATCTTGTATATCTAGTAATTTTCACAATGGCTTGTTTCATATCCAAAAGGCGCAGCATTTTTATTACCTTTTATAATCTTTGAAAGTCCTAAATACTGTTCCTTACGATAGCAACAACAATTCATATAACTTTCTCAAATATTATATGTCATCAAAAGCCAATTTTTCGATTTCTAAAAGTAGAAAAATATATTTCTTGAGTGAAAAAGTATCTAATATCTAGTCATAATAAGTTCATTCTGCTTTATCATTCAGATAATGTGAATATTCGAAAATGGCGAAAAAAATTTTCGGAGAACAATAAATTAGTTGCATTATAGAGCTTGATGCCACACAATATCTGAGAAAGTTGCACAAATTATCACCTCTGTCATAATGAGCAGTATCTAGAAAATTAAAATATCACAAAAGACAGTAAAAATGATGAGTTTTTATGTACGAAGCAAATCATTGTGCGGATTATTAGATACACACGACTGAAGATCAAACATTACTACTCAATTAAATTTAAACAAAATTTTATATAGATTGGTTTGAGGATATTTTGAGTCATAATATTCAATCATATTACCCA